AATCGCTTGAACCTAGGGGACAGAGTTTGCAGTGGGCCGAGAGGGGACCACTGCAGTCCAGCCTGGGCAACAGAGCAAGACTCTGCCTCAAAACAAACAAACAAAAAAAAGCCAAAAGAAGAGATGGAAAAGCATCAGCCAGGGTGAGATGAAGAAAATCAAGTGCATGGTATTCTGAGAGCCAAGTAAAGAAAGTCTATCAAGATGAAAAAGGTAATCAGCTGTGTCAGATACTTCTGATGGGTCATAAAAAATGAGGGCTGAGAATTTATCATTGGATTTAACAACATGGAGGTCACTGGTGATATAGACAAAGTCTTTTTTATGACATGGTGGGAGGGAAAGCTTATTTGGAGTTGGTTTAAGAGAGAATTGGTGATACCAGATACACAGAGCATGGGTAAGGGCCAGGGTCAGTAGTGAGCTGGAGGAAGTAAGGTCAAGAAGGTATTTTTTGGGTCAGGTGCGGGCTCACGCCTGTAATCCCAGCACTTTGGGAAGCTGAGGGCACATCATGAGGTCAGGAGATCGAGACCATCCTGGCTAATACAGTGAAACCCCGTCTCTACTAAAAATACAAAAAAATAGCTGGGCATGGCACATGCCTATAGTCCCAGCTACTCGGGAGGCTGAGGCCAGAGACTTACTTAAACCCGGGAGGCAGAGGTCACAGTGAGCCAAGATTGTGCCACTGCACTCAGGCCTGGGCAATAGAGCGAGACTCTGTCTCAAGACAACAACAACAGAAAGATGTTTTTTGGATGAAAGAAGTCACAGGATGTTTTTATACTTCTGGGAATTTCCAGCAGAGAGAAAAATGGATACTGTAGGAGAGAGTGAGGGGAATGGCTGGAGTGAAACATGAGAGTAAGCAAGAGAGAATGGGAAAGGGGGTTTGGTAAGTCTTAGCTTTTTTTTGTTTGTGTGTTTTAAGACAGGATCTCACTCTATTGCCCAGGCTGGTCTGAAACTCCTGGGCTCAAGCAGTCCTCCCACCTTGGCCTGGAACTGCTGGGCTGAAGCAGTCATCCCACCTTGGCCTCCCAAAATATTGGATTATAGAGGTGAGCCACCATGCCCAGCCTGGTCTTAGCTTTTAGCTTTTATTTTTAATACACATTTTTTTTTTTAGACACAGTCTCACTCTGTCACCCAGGCTGGAGTGCAGTAGCACCATCTCAGCTCACTGCAACCTCCGCCTCTCCGGTTCAAGTGATCCTCCCACCTCAGCCTCCTTAGTAGCTGGGACTACAGGCATGCACCACCACACCCACCTAATCGTTGTATTTTTAGTAGAGATGGGGTTTCACCATGTTGGCCAGGCTGGTCTCGAACTTCTGACTTCAAGTGATCCACCCACCTCAGCCTCCTAAAGTGCTGAGATTACAGATGTGAGCCACCATGCCCAGACCAGTCTTAGCTTTTAGACAGGAGCATGGATCCGTCAGTAACAGATGGGAAACATGGATGCAGGCTCTGGTGGATGAGAAAAGATGTTGATTGAAGATTGTGGAAATTCTTAGGGCTTCAGTCTTTTTGATGAAATAGGAAACAAGATGATCAGCTAAAAATTGCCAAAGAGATAGTGGAGATTTAGGAGAGAAGGCATAACTTGAATGTTTGAGAAAATGAAGGCGAAGGAGAAGCCACAATAGAAAAACAGCACGGGTAAGATAAGCTGTTAGCTCTGTAAGCTCACTCCTACCACTGATCCTCTGTTGGAGCCGCTCTGAGTGGCCTGCTGTTCTGTGAAAATTCCTGGCACCCTTCAGCCTGTTCTTGCTCTTGCCTCTGCCAGGGACACTTTTGAAGATAACGGCATGACTTCCTCCCTCCCTCACTCACGGCTCCTCTGACAAGCCGCGCTCCCTGCCCCTTCCCTGTCTCTATCTTTCTCCTCTGATTTATTGTCTTCTTAATACTTACCAGTTCCTGACATCTTACTAGTTTTTTAGTTTAGTATGTGCCCCTGCTCCCCGTATAATGTTCCATGATGGCCTGCCTTGGCATCTTTCACTGTTGCCATACTCCTAGTGTGTAGAACTGCCTGGTACGTAGTGGACATTCAGTAATTACTTGTTGAGTGAGCACACAGAAGTGCGCATCATACAGATCTGTTTACTTGCCAGAAACAGACTTCAGATTTGACTGCTGTCTCTTGATGGTGAAAACAAATAAGAAAACACAAGAGTTACAAGATTCACTGTGTCCATCAGGCAGAAACAAAAAACTTATTTAGAAGAAACATGATAGGAAACTTGAAAGAAATGCTTCCTTTCAG